CAGTTCCCGTGGCTTGATATATTTCAAAAGTCCGTAACATAGCCAAGATAAACTCACATATTTTGGACAAGATAAACTCACAGACATCTCTCTAAAAATAATTTATTTATGTTTCCGTACCATAAAGAAGTACTTTTCCACCTCCCTTATTGTATGGAATGCGGTCGGTATACAATGCATACAATGTGGCCTTCCTTTTTGTATTTTTAATAACTACGTTTTCAGATGATGTAGCGAGCTGAGAAACGTCTTTAGAAAGATATCGGTTCCAAATAGTATAGAATGTACAGCGCTTTATCTATCAAAAAATGTTCGGAATGATAGGAATTGCAGGAGAGTTGACGATTTAAGAGAGAAGGCACTTATCTTTAGCTACAAAATTTGAAAGTACGCAACGTAAATAAGCAGTAAATAAGAGTATTTTCTAAAAAACAGACTTTCTATATACCGAGTTTTCAATTTAATTTAAAAAGCTTAAGTTTACTAAATTGAAATATCAAAATAAAGCAAAAGCCACTTAAATAACTTTATTTCGAAATTAGCTATTCAAAGCATTTAAGCTACGTAGAACTTAATTTAATATTTTTGATTCTTTAAACAATTTAAATTTAATATTAAGGGAAAAAATTTGTTCAACTATAATAACGTAATCCAACTATATAACGTAAACCTTTTGCGTTTCAAAACCATTTGGTAAACTATCAGCTATATTCTGGTAGTCACATCATTCTATTTTAATTTTTTTTAACATCACTTCATCTGGTAATACTACCAACCTAAAAACATTTTTATCTCCTTTACAAAGACGACTACCAGAAAGGTATATTTTAGATGACGTGACGTGCCAGATTTTTTTATCACGTGAATTTGAAAACGATACGACTAACAGAATATAGGTGTATATATTTTTGCTTGAATTTTCTATTTTCTCTGTGTCCATTAATTAATGGAAATCGGTCTTGGAAAAATTTACTAATTGTACGTAAATGAGCGTGTCACTCCAGAGAAAAAGATATTCCACCACTTACATAAAACACACTCTTGTAATTGCTGTATAAAATGTAAGATTAGAACAAAAAAAAAATAAGCAATATTTTATGATTAAAAGAAACAAAAATGTTAATTATTGTTGAAATATCAAATGGAATTCATCTTAATTTCTTCTTTAAAAAAAAAAAATATGAACAAGTACACTTGAATGTAACTTTTTATCATAATAATTTGAAATTTTTGAATTAACTCAATATAAGATGAAGAAGAAGGAAAAGAAGATATCAAATTTCATAATTTGTTTATTAAAATTTTATGATCAATTTAGAATATGGTAGAACTATTTGAGCATAAATTCATTGACCTTTCACCCAAAACATAATTGTGCTGAATGTAGCAGATATTGTAATATAAATATTCGTCAGATAATGTTTTACACAAAGTCAAAGCTACTTAAGTCATATGAATTGGATTGTGTTACGTGTCGGAACAATATTCCTAGTTAAGACAAATGAAAATTTATAAATGTCTTTAAAAAAAAGCAATTTATTGTGCATTGTTTTTCGTGAAAACCTTTATTGTGGAAGTTCATTAAAATTTAAGATAATGATTAGGTTTCTAATAAATTAAGTTTGGTAAAATTAATGTTTTTTGGATATCAATCCTATGATATAGTAGTAGACCATTCACAAATTCTTTATTCAACAAGTATATCATATATAAAAATTACTAAAATTGGATTAAGGACGAAAATTCAAAGAGTATCCTCTTTAATACTTAACTGTATAAAATGCGAGCAGTATCAAAACACTACCAGTATTTATATTGTGTGTAGTTCAAAATTAAGTTGGAGCTATTTCATTGGTTATAATTAAAATTAAGTTTTAGCTATTTCATTGGCTATTGGAGTTGGAGCTACATTTGGTTATAAAAAATTATGCCTTCTCGCATATACAAAAATAGAAACCCGTAGCGATTTCAAATGCTTTCATTAATGCATCATATAAACTCTATCCCACGTGCCAAGTACATTTCTGAATTCCTCTATATGTTCTCTGACATCTATTAATCACATTTTTAGACAGAATTATACATAGAATAAACTACGACTTCAGTAATTTTAACTTGCAGTCACAAAATAAAAAATTAATAAAATTCAAAATTATGTAAATTATCTTCAATATTTGCAAGACTTCTAACATTCTAACAATATTGGAAATATTTCAAATAATTAATAAACAAAATAATAAAAATTTTTTTTTTAAATTATTCATAAGGTTTTCCACATCCCTGGCTCGTTAGAATAAAATAAAAATAAGAATAATTATTTTTTTAATTATTTCTATCTTTAAAATTATTTTTTATTTTTTTTTAAATTTTAAAATCAATTATTTCCAATACTGAAACCACGCCATAAAATACAAAAAGTGTAGTAATTTTCGCTAATTATTGATAGAGAATAATGATAATTATTATTGTATCGAAGCAATTACTTTTCTCATTACTTTAGAAAAATAAAAACAAATAGCCAGTAAAACGCCATGACGTAAAACTTTTTTATAGATTTTTTAAAAAAAATTTTAAGTATGTAAAAGTAATAATGATAAGTGTGTTATCAAACAACATGGTTCTATTTAAAATAAAAATATAAGTAATTGCTTTTCTTATAATTTCTTCAAAAAGTTTAAGTAATAGAATCTAAACTTTTCATTAATGCGAGGAAAGAACCTTCCATTTATACAATTTCCAATAAATACGATTTTTAAATTTTTCACTCACATAAATCACTTGATTTACTGATATAGGGGCACGATGATAATAAACAATTATAATTAAATAATGAATAATTCATAGACTGAACAATATTTTTGTATAAAACACGTTTAGAATTCTATTATACTTTCCTATAGGTTTGGCTCTTATATACGCTTATAAAATTAATTTGTTAAAAAATAATTTGTGATCTTACATTAAAGAATGATTTTTATCTCCAATCTTTTAGCAATAATTTTTGGTTGCATTATTATGCGAAAAGGAATTTCATTACATTAATTTTGACTCACAATTTTGTCAATTTTCTTAAACACTTCGGATAAACACAAAATAAATTTGCAAATCAATAAGCTAATCGATTCGCAGTTTTTCTCTGAAAAAGTACTGCTACACAATCTGATTTCTACCTACATATTCTCTGTGATTTTTCACTGTTTTAAGCTAATATTAATTTCATATAAAATCACAATTTAAGCAAGCATTTGTCTACAATTAATGTTGAATTATATTTCACTTAAATAAATATTAAATAATTAATAAAATCATAAAATTGAAAAAAATGGAATATATTACCAATGTCCTTTTAATTAATCAATCAAACAATTTCAGAATTATTACAATTATTTTTTAATTATTCTCAATTATATTTAATAAAAAATTTATCTCTTATCAATAACGTAGTAAAATTTAAATTATTTTTTGATTAAATTTTAATATTCTTTGAAGTTTCATAAAAATTAATATCTCAATATCTTTTAAGACTATCAAACAATTTGACTAAAATAAAAACTCCGTCAATAGGGACAGTGTCATTTTAAAATTATAATTTATCTCGTCATGTCTAAGAGTTACTGTGAAAACCAATATTATACACAAATTTAATTCAAAAACAGAAGATTATTTAAATATCTAAAATTAAATATGTAAGTGCAATTTTTTATAACTGTTGAATACTTATTTATCTTTTCAATTAACAAAAATAGAGAAAAAGACATTCAAATACAACATTAATAAATATTCAAATCTCACACCTATCTGTTATATTTAAAACACATTTTTTTATTTTAGATCTTCCGAAAAGATATACGCATACCGCAACAAAATTTGTTTCGGTGTCATTTTATAAAACGAACACTGAAAACAAATTATTTTAAATGAAAAAGGATATACGAGTAATAATAAAAAGCCGACAAGTTTAATTTTTTTTTTCTTCTTCATCTTTCCGTTTCATGTTAAAAGGTAATATTTGTTTGTTTGTATAAAGGACGTATAACAGATAATAAAGTTAGAGATACAAAAATTTTTCCAAGAAGTCCAGTCCTTTTAATAATAATCACAAAAAACAAACAAATTTACATTTCTATTGAAAATATTTAATATGTAAATTTAAGGATTTGTTATTTGTTTTCTATAAAATATATAGTTTGTAAAATTGCCCAATGTAAATGCCGTCGGAGGAAAAATGTTTTGAAAATATTTGGTTTGTTATATTTGCGAAATTTTCAAATAATCGAATGAATTAAAAATTTTCAATCATTATTGATTTGCTCAAGAGTTTGTTATAATAGAAATCGGAAAATTAAATAAAATGTCAAATAGCCACCTTAAATAAAATTTAATTTTTTAATCAAAATGTTGTAGTCGTAATAATATTCATCTGATTTTGCATTTTTAAGTAACACAATGTTATATTTGAAAATTACAGGTTAATATTTCTATTGTAAATTATATTAGAATATTATATCTAGAAAATTTCCTGCAACCCAATCAAATACAACTTTACAATACTGTTTGGTTGATTCAAGATATTTTATAAATCAAAAATTCGCACTGCACCATTCACTTTTAAAATAAAAATGTGTTTTTACCCATAATTGAATTAAAATAAAAGAATTATTATGAGCCGGCTCCTCAGTTTTAAATTGATGAAAATATCCATATAATTATATATATTGCGTATATATATATAAATTTATAAATTTATATTGAGTGCAAATCTACAGAAATTTTGTAATCTCAAATTAAATTATTGAAAATTAAAATTGAATAGAACTTATGAGTTTATGAACAGAAAATTATTCTGAAATTTAGTAAAAATATAGCGTCGAACTGCAAAACTGATTCTTTATAAGCAGGTTAGTAATGAGACTTCTTTATAACCCTCAAAACTTTAAATTGTATTATTTTATTGATTTTTTTTTAAATAATCACATTAAACACAAAATTCTCTGTATTACCTGACATTAAATGTCGCTCGAATAACATTTTAAAGGCTCGTTTTATATAATTATTATCCTTTCACGTGTACTTATTAATAATGAAGTTGTATATTAAATGAAATAATATTGAAATATTTTATTAAATATTAAAATTCACTTAATATTTTCATTTTCAATCTTATTTTATTTTAAATTTTGAAAAATTAAAATTAAACACTTAAAGAACTATAAATTTTATATTTTCACTTTAATCACCAATATTCAACTGGTATATATGTGTGTGTGTATTTAAGAACATATTTTATAATTTAAAATAATTATTGTAATTTTAATATAAATATTAAAAATTTATTCATAAATTATTCAATTTAAATGGTTATTAATTTTGGATACTATGATATTTTTTTTTTGTTTAAATTTCAATTAATTTTGTATTAATGAGCTAGAAAAATTTTACAATATTCACGTGATTTATTCATTTATTTCAAAAATCTTCTTTTTTTTTTTTAAATTTCGTCCTTTATTAATTTTTAAAATTTCAAAAATTCTAATTAATTACTAAAATTTTGTATATTCACAATATTAAAATTAGATTAATAGAAAACTGTAAGAATATGAAGAATCAATTAAAAAAAATTTTTTTTTTGACTTAAACATTTTGTGCAATTAAAAACAAATATATGTAATTACAATAATAATAATGAAATAAAAATCAAGCAAATAAACAGAGAATCTTGTCTGTCTGACAAGGATACCAAATATAGACTGAAATACATACAGCCCAAATATACAACGAAACTATTATAATTATTTTTTTTTTATTATTCTTATTATTATTTTCTTTTTCTTCTTCTTCTTTTTCTCTTATATAGATACATACATATACAGAGATATTTTATATTATTTTACTTTATGTTTTGATTTGAATTGTCAAACGTAACATCCTCGATACAACAAATACATAGCATTACTCATAAAAATATGATCAAAATGATCATCATAATCATAGTTACAATCAATATCATTGTTAATCTCATCATCATTTATAATATTCATCTGGATGACGATAAAACGAGAAATATTATTCGTTTATACCACCATATTCTGGGTTCAGTGATTTTTCTCATTTTCTGTTTGTTTTTATATCCTTTTTCATATTATCCTTTTTGATTTGTACATTTTTTTTTTGTTTTGTAACTACATATTCCTTTAACAATTTTATTTTTTTTCTCTTATTACTATTTTTCTTTTAGTTTTCATTTCATAATATTCTTATTAAGCAAGTAAAAATATCCCCGTTCGTAATTCACAATTTTATACCGAATTACAAAAAAATTTTTTTATAATACAACAAAGAGAAAGAGAGATACTATATAGTATTTTTATTACTATCAAATAGAAAACAAGAGACAACTAAAATTGAATGAATTCCCATAAGAAATGAACAATACAACAAACTCTTTTGTACTATACTAGTATTAAAAATATAATTAAAAACAATAATATATAGAGGGGATGTTCTCTAAATATCAACCCTAGAGCTACTACTAGCTACTAGCTAGTATTATTTTACTACCGATTCTTCATGAAAAATTGAAAAAGAAAAAAAAAGCAACGAAATCATGATGACGATGATATCAAATTTTTAGAGAAGAGAATCTCACAAACAAGAAACATACATATATTTGAACAGTGCTACTATAAAATATAGAGAATAATGTACATACAACATACTTATAATATAAATATACACATACATGCTCATTGCGAATTAGATATTTGTATTATGTACACATATAATGTAGCCATAACTGAAAATGAAAAAAAAAAAAGGAACACAGCAGGGGCAGAAGAGCAACCAACTTTTGAAAACAAAAAACAGCAAGTAAAAAGGAGGAAAAACAAATATTCTCTTCTGCCTCTTTATCATTGTTGTAGAAATCGTCATCATCATGAAAGCTACTCTTGTATATTTATAATATTAATCTCTATATACATATAAACATACATTGTATCGAATATATTTTGAAATAACGGGGATGAAATTCTCTATATGTGTTTCTTGTTCTTTTTTAGTTTAGTATTTTTTTTATATTTTTCTTTATTGAATCTTCGTATGGTCGATCTCAGTGATATCTCACTTATTTTATACTATACTTCGCTTATACAATATAAATATTTTATAACATTATTATTTTTATAGTTTACAGAAATATTTGGAAAATAAATATTTCATACTTTTTATGTATAGATTGTTATATTATTCTCTGTTATACATTTACTTACATAGAAGAGAAACAGTGTAATCATATATGACTGTAGATACTTTTACATTAAAATCTATATGTTTGTTTTTTGTGTGCCTGTAGAAAATATAGAGAAAAAATAAAATTTACGTTTCTTTGTTTTCTTTGCTCTTTCTTCTTTTATCTTTTCTTCATATTTTTTTTTTGTTTCTCTTTTGTATATAGAGTTTAAATCCCAATAAGAATCTTGCTAAGTTTGTTTTGTTTTTTTTTACATTGTTTTTTCTTTTACTTTTTTTTTCAATTTTGCTTTTATAAGAAAACCAACAAAAGATTTTCAAATAAGATATACAGATGTTATTCTTCTTCTGTTTCTTCTCATTTATATTATTAATATCCTACAAGGATAATAAGGAATATGGGTTACCAAACGTTGTTAAAAGCATAAACGTAGAAAATATTTATGTTTTTAGAAAGCTAAACGATCAAAAGTAGAAAAGTAAGCTATTTCTGTCATTAAATGAGAAGTCCAAAATGATACAGTTTATTGTTGAAGGAAAAATTTAAGGTTGAAGAAGTCGGGAGAATTTCAACCAGAATAAGAATTATTCTAGCTAATTTGCCAATATTATAAAAGATATAACTTGAAATGTGATCGGTAAATCCCTGGAAATTATGTGTAGAGAGAAAAAAGGGAATAAATAATTATACAGTTATTCTTTGGGTACGAAAAGTCAAATCGATATAATATTTATCGAGTGCTTACCGCATGGAAAAATCTTCAACTATGTTGGTACTCGATAATGTAAAATGCAATTGAAAACTATATGGCTTTAAAATCTCTTCATTTGATTTACACATGAATCTTATTGTAAATGAGGGATTTCATTTTATCGTAATTGAATTTTATTGTAATTATAGAAATTAGGTAGAGTTTTCCGCTATTAATCAATAAGGTTATTAGCAAATTATTGATATTAAATAAACATAATTATAAAATAATTATAAAATTTCCAGATTAAATTTTAATATACACTGAGAAAAATGTTCCTAATCGAAATTTATAATTATCACTGAATCAAAATTTAAAATTTAATACAAAATATTGTAAGATCTACATAAAAAATATAAATCTCATATTCCTTTTAAAATTATGAATTTCATTTAATTATATTTGTTTGTGTGCAAGTATTTTGTTGCCGTCATCCTTTTACCATCTGCTGGTTACTTTTTTTTTCTTTTTCGTCGTCCTTTTTGTTGTTATTATTTTCATATTTGTGGTTTATTTTTTTCTTTATTATTTCTCTTCTTCTTCATTCTTTTCATGTCATTTTGTACTGATTGCTTTTTTTTTCTTATTTTTTTTTTATTTTTTATTTCAAAGTATAGAATATTGTATAACATGTAAATGTTTCATTTAATGAAAGATAGGATAATGTTATTCGTTGTGTATCCTGAAGATATATACATGTATACATACGAGTATTATATGTGTGTAGGTACGTACGTATGTCCTGTGAAGCACTTATATATATATATACATAATATATAAACATTAATTTTTTATTATTTTTGTTTTTTTTTATTTTATTTATTTATTTTCATTATATTATATTCTATATTTTTTTTTATATATTTGGGAGGAGCAAATAACTGTATTATTTTTTTTTTATAAAGGCGGGTTCATCGTTACAAAAAATATAAAAAACAAGAAAGAAAGAAGAAAAAAAATAAAAATGATATTTTATTTATTTTATATTATATAATTTTATAAAATTGTATACAAATATAAATATTATATTTTAATAAAAAATAAATCTCTGAAATGATAATAAAATAATAATTTATTTGTATTGTGAATCTCTGTGTGTAGCATCTACCATTTTAATTATTAAATATAACTCTGTAGGTATATATTAAAATAGAAGGACACTTTGAAATAACTCCTGTTTAATAACATATTATGTGTGGGCTAGTAAAATTCTAGTATAGTATGGTATTGAATGATTATCTGAGAGAAAATAATAAATTAGGAATAATGAAAAAAGTTCTTGATTTATAGAATTACAATCAAGGACAAAAACTCCTGCAGAATTCCATAATTCTACAGCGCATACAAGAAAAGTTATAAATATAGAAAATGTTAGAAATTCCAATGTTATTTATTTAAAATATAAAAAATTCAAAGAGCAGAGTTTTTCATTTTTCGGATTCCACTAATGGAATTTTTTTGATTTAGAAATTTAAGTAATTGAACCTATTGCAGTTACAACTTAAACATAATATAATCTTTTCCTTTTCTCAAATTTTTTTGAAACATCGCTTAAATTAGTATGCTCTTCGGACTTTGTAAAAGCAGAAACGTAATTTGCAAAATAATTTTTCAATTTAAGTACATACATATTTAAGCTTATCAATACATATTAAATTATAAATAGAAGCCGCAAAGAGAAAAAGCCTGCCCTGTAACAAATGTAAAAATATTTTAATTTTTCATTTCACACTGAAATATTGAAAGTCTCTGATAGAAAACATTCGGATATTGTTTTTTTTCTTAAACTTCTTTTCAACATTATAAAAACATAGTTCTAAAACTGATTTTATATTTTAATTATTGTAGTAATGTAAAACAAAATGTAATAAGTTTAAATTTTGGAAATCAATTAAGTCTTACAACTATTACCAGAGGAGCGTTTATAATCCGCCTCTCATACATATCTACATATTCTCTCATTGAGCCTGCTAGTCCTATGCATCATATTATTTTATACATGTGTGGGTATATTTAAATTGATATTTTAATTTATTGTTTTAAAAGAAAAATGGATGATACACTTCAAATATACTATGAACAATATAACAGTTATCATGTAATTTTTATATATTTATTCTATATTATATACGTAACATG